TTTCCTTGGATATCCCTCCCTTGCCAATGTCTGTTCCTCCCTTGTAGCAGCCTTCTCCACTCCTGCTCACCCCCGTTTGTTACCCTATGTCCTGCTCCTTACCACCTATCCTGCTTGTTCCTATCCGTACTCTTACCATGCCCTGCCAATTGAGGAGTTCTCCCCAGCTTTCCCTCCAGTGTTTTGCCTTTTCCAATCCTTTTTGTCCCTTTTCAACCTAATCCTTCCTTCCTCCCCACCTCCTCACCCTCTACCTCTACTTCCTTCTACTTTCCTATCCCAGCTTTCTACTTCTTCCTCCATTCTACAGACATCACTTGCTCTACCCTACTTCCCTATTTTGGTACATCGACAGTCGTCACAATGGACCCCTCCACCCTCCCCTAACTAATTTGCAACTATTTTACAGCTGTTTTTTGCAACACAGCATCCAACCGAAGCACTCAAAATAAAGAGGTTATCTCCTGCTTCTAATTATGTCAAGCCTGTTCAGGCTCGGGTTCCGGTCAAGGCACATGGTGCAACAAGATGGGACCAAACTGCATCTTCCCTGTCTCAGGGTCCCGAGTCTGCAGTTGTGGGTACTGGCCTCATCTCTTTGAAAACCCATTATCCTTTTCTTCCCCTGCATATCTGCAGCGATGGAAGTCCGCCAAAAGGGCTATTCTCATGTTCTCCAGCACTCTTTCCTGGTATGCATGCAATGGCGGGGTAGCTCCTTGCCTGCACCGCCGATTTCTTAATCCACCAGTACCTACTGGTTGGTGCGGCCGTTGACGTGGTAGCCGAATCGGTCTGCCCCCCAGGTCCATATTCATTCGATCCAGGGGGGGTATAAAAAATGGGGTAGGTACTGGTGGTTTAAGGTCCACAGGGCCCATAGCACTGCTGCCCTCATAATCTCCTCTGTCATCAGGTCCTTGAATTTCGGCCTATTGACCTTTATCAGTTCTCCCAGGAGAATAGCTGCGTCGTCCATTTCAGCAACGTCTGGCGGTGATTTGTCTGCGACTTCTTGCGCCCACCATACCCAGAACCCCCGAACCTCCTGGCATCGCAGAGAGACATGAGGAAGCTTTTCCACCTGGCCGCACCCTGCAGCACATAGCCAATCCTTATGTCCGCTTTTGGCAGCCAGCCATTGCGCTGTCGGGATTGCCAGGTGATATATTTGCCACAGCAGGCAACTGCAGGCCTGCTTGCTTCTGATCTGCCAGGACTGCCAGGATAGCGCATTGCTCATTCCACCTCTGCTGTGTCCACCTGTTGAAGTATACATCCCAGAGCCAGTTACTCTTAGCCCACTGATTCTTCAGCTCTCCGCAAATGTCCACTGGCTCCAGCGGCGTGGTCACATCTTGGAGCGGCATGGCCTTACTGTGCATCCTCTGAGGCGGCCAGACCCGAGTTTTTTTTTTTTTTTCCAGAATTCCCCGGCCCCTTCTATTCTGGGGGGCATCAATCCGGTCGCTTAAATTTCCTCCTTTTTTCTTTTTTTCCTTATTCATTTTTTTCCCAGTGACATGGTAGGTTTTAGTGGAGGGGGGAAAAAGACATGGCAGGTCGCTGTTTAGAGAAACAAAACACACAGAAAAAACTTCAAAAAAGTTATATTCCAGGCTTTCAGCCAATCAAACTAAATCATGCATTTCAACTTTCAAGTTGCAGAATGCCATCTCCACTGTAAAGAAATGGGTCCTAGAGTTTCAAGTCTCCTTGGGGGCCCCTAGGAGAATTTCCAAGAAATGACTGTCGTCCTACGGATCTTTTCACTTGTTCCTTTTCCAGGGCTTGTCATTATGACGTAGCGCAACGATACAAAAAAGCTGTTTTCTAGGGGGGTTCTAGATGTGTCTAATGGGACCCTAGGTCAAGCACATTGATCCCAAAGCTACTAGAATCATCACTTCAAAGACTTGGGGCATGATTTGTGATCGCCACAACATGCTGAGAATCCAGTCCAAAAGCCTGGCCACTGAAGAGCACATCCTCATGAAGCAGGAGTGTGCCCGACTGCTATGGATTTTGAACTTTTGACCTATCCTTACTTGCTGATACGCGGGCCTTTTCACAAAACCCCGAAGTAAAGCACAACCGGGTAAGTTTGCTGTGATCACAAAACTCCGAAGTAAAGCACAACCGGGTAAGTTTGCTGTGATCAGAAAACCCCGAAGTAAAGCACAACCGGGTAAGTTTGCTGTGATGTTCTTTACCAGACTAAACCAATAGTTAACCAATCGCCACTAATCGGGAATGGTCCGCGCCAATTCCACACACTATTTCTCTGGCTTCCCACTGAAACACTTGCCCGTTGAACCACCACACTCTCTCCACACGTGACCTGCTGAGCCTGACATACTTTTGCTACGTTGGAACCAAACCGCGGTTTCAGGGTGTGTCTGAGGTACGAGGGGAGCAAACGGTTTTGTGTGGCCTCACTGCTGTTTTGAGGGCGCATCCATCAGATCTCTATCGTCTATCTCTCCACCTTACCATGGTACAAGGAGAGAAACAAGGAAGCCACAAGAAAAGATAAGAACAAGGAGGCTTTCCGAGATAATGGTGGCTGAAGCCACTACTATATCCTCCACAAGCTGAAGGATGCGGCCAAGTACACAGTCGGCACATTTGGTTGTAGTGTACCGGTACCGTTCATGGATTTGCATTTCTGCAGCTTTGATGTTACACCACCAGTATGTGCGAGACTCTCTTTTCCATCGCAGATTTTTGCCCCGTGCCAATTTCAGCTTAACCCATGTGGTGAGCATTTTGCGTGGAGCTGCCAGCCTTTCCCATCCGGTAGGCCAAGCCCCTAAGCACGTGGCATATGTTACCCGATGTTGGAAGGAAATAGCTTTGAAACGAGGCGTTGCTTTGATAGATTAGGTGCAGTGCGGTATTTGAAATGTTCCCCGTGCCATTCCCAACGTATACAGGTGGAGGATGCCCCCAGGCCCGCCGCCCCAGGTCAGTGCGGTCACACACATATATCAGACGTCTTGTGCTGTGCTTTGGTTTAAAGCGTTGTATGGGACCACACCATCTGCTGGTTCTCTTCCTGGACTGTCGGGCGTCTCAGGATCGACCCTCAGCGTCGAAGGCAAGTGCAGATGTGTTACATCCTGCATCACCACAAAACCGTGTTGCTTGCCCAGCATGCACTGCAGAGGCCCAGTGGGCATGGTGGAAAATCCTTGATACCGATCCCATGTGTCTAAGAGGCTAGAGGACCGAACTGAGAACATAGACACAGCACCAAAGTTCTCAGGGTTTCTTTGTCATCTACAAAAATACAATGCTGACTCACCTGAAAGTATCTTGGGTCAGGGTGTATGTTACTACAACGAACTGCCGGGCAAACCATAGGCAAA